AGAGAGAGACAGAAGGTGATTGAGAGGGGGAGAACATCAGATAGAAGGCTTCAGAGAGAGAGACTAGAGAGGAAGAGAGAGACAGAAGGTGATTGAGAGGGGGAGAACGTCAGATAGAAGGCTTCAGAGAGAGAGACTAGAGAGGAAGAGAGAGACAGAAGGTGATTGAGAGGGGGAGAACGTCAGATAGAAGGCTTCAGAGAGAGAGACTAGAGAGGAAGAGAGAGACAGAAGGTGATTGAGAGGGGGAGAATGTCAGATAGAAGGCTTCAGAGGGAGAGACTAGAGAGGAAGGAGGATAGAGAAGAGAAAGAGTGGAGAGAGATGGAAAGTGTGTAAAAGGGAATTAGAGGACAAGAAGGAGGAAAAGAGAGAGGAGGATGGGAGAGAAAAAGGAGGGAGAACAAAAGAAATTGAGAAGGTTAGAGAGAAGGACTGAGAACTGGAGAGGAAGGATGAGAGAGAGAAGCGAGAGATTGATGGTGTGTGTGAAAGGTAAAGTGAGAACAAGCAGGAGAAGAGTGAGGAGGAGGGGGAGATGCTCAGAGAGAAGGACTAATAGTGAGGATGGAGAGAAAGGAGGAGAGAGAGAAGTGGTGGGAGTAAGAAGTCAGAGATAGATGGTGTGTGAAAGAGAAAGAGAGTTTAGAATGTAGGCAAAGAGAAAGACAAGAGAAGCGAGAAGCCCGAATGTAAGTGAGAGACACACAGGGCCACCATAGGTCCATTAGAATATCTATAAATCACACAAACAAAACATAAACCTAGAAATTGGAAGTAGTTTTTCTCTACTTGGGTTCTCTAGTCATAGTTTTAACACATTTTTCATCAGGATTTATTTTAAACCTTGCTTACGCACAGTGTAAACCTCCTCCGCCCTTTGCATGAACACTCTGAGCTGTGATCTCTCTCCTCAGGCATTCATCTTGGTGGAAACATCTTCACTTCTCCCAGGACTTCCTATATGATAATTCTCTTATCTAGTTTGCGTCTTTCCCTGCCTGGCACTGAAAAATTGGCTCAGTCACATACTGTATCTGCGTTTTTAATAATACATTCAGGATTTATTCCTTAGTTTTATATATTCTTAGGAATAACACAGTAAAACAAATGGTATTTTTAGTTGTATCACTTCTGATCATATCTCTACTATATTTACTCATTCTTTTCCTTTCTGTCTAGAAATGCATGGTCAAGATGAATACTGTTTCGTTATATTAAATGACTGCTCCTCATAAAACTGATATTTCAGGTTTGGTAGATGTTGGAAAGTTAGAGACCTGCAATTTCTTATATCTCTTGAGGATTTTCATGATGAGATCACTGCACTGAATTCTTTGGTCTGCACATATTCTATGGCCATTAGTAGAGGCTTCCACTATGGAAAATGCAAAGGTGGGTGAGAACACTGAACACTGCAAGATGGACAGGAACAGAGTCGGGAATTATGGCAGGAAGATCTCACTGATGGAATATGCACGATATAACAAGCCAGGGGCTCGTTCAGCCCATCAACTAAAACATAAAGTTTTGGTAAAAAGGCCCTTCAATCACTGGCCACCCAGGCCAATTCTGACAATTCTCTCATACTTGGAAAAATCATATTTTTTTTTTGCTGGAAAATTATTAGCACCTACAAACATTATATATTTTTTAAGCAGAGGCATTAAAGAAAAAAAAAAATTTTTTTTGCAACATGTTATCTGCGCTGCAGTTTTTTAAACGCAATTTGTTGGAAAAAAAAAAACTTTAGTGAATTAAAGTGCACACAAACACAATATAATACCCACTTTTTGGTAAAATATAAAAGATGAGGTTACACTGAGTAAATTGATACCTAACATGTCATGCTTTAAATTTGCGTACGCCCAACAGTGTCAAGCTATGGTACCCAAAAATCTCCAAAGGCGACGCTTTTAAAAGCCTTTACAGTTTACCAATTTAGAGATCTGGTGCTATAATTATTGCTCTCACTCTAACATTAGTTGTCCAACAACTGGCATTGGAAACTGATGACAATTTACAAGCAACACTATGCAACTCATGGTTTGATAGGTCACTTGCCTTGTCTCGAATACATATGGAAGCAAAAAAGTGATCTTGTGCACTATTCAGTGTAGAATTTTATAATTCATATCTAATCAATCCTCACACGTGTCTGCATAATAATCTACCCGCGGGTGGAATGTCACTTGTTCATAGAAAAAGTTATGAGCAAAATATGAATTATGAGAGATTCTGGCTCTAGTTGAGGTATCCGCCCGACGATCCCTCCCTAAACAGGGCATTGGTCCTTGGCTTCAGAGACACCCCCTGCTAGGGAACTACAAAATGGGCTGTCAGGCCTAAGAGAGCTAAGTTGAAGAATTCTCCCATTTAACAACAAATACCACCTGGGAAGACCCGTACCCTTTCGCTCTGAAACTTGACCTACTAACCCAGGACTTTGGCAAGTACCTTAGCCCTTTAACCTCTCTCTGTTATCTCTTTGCTGTGCTGTTGTTCTCTGTATATTTTATATATATTGGTTACATCTTTGTTCTGTAAATATTTTTATTGCACCCCTTTTTGACTTTTCAGTAATAAATCTTTTCTTTTGAAAGTGTTGTACTGTTTTTATAGCTCTTAATTGCAATTTACAAATTCCTGCCTCTAAAAAGAATGCTACTGTGTTTGTTTAACCCTCTGTATAACCGGCCATGCGGTGACCGTGTTATACAGATGATTACCTCAACCATTATAGTGTTATTGCGGATATCGCCAAGTTTCCTCTTTCTCTGTACAAAAAGGAGGTAGTAGCAGTGTGAAGGGTTAATTGCGTAATTAACCTGACCCAGTAACAATCGCTCAGGCTGCTGGTACATCGATTGTGGTCCATTAGCTGGAAAATCATTGTGCAGGGTGCGGCTGGGTGTGGCATTGTTACGCACGTGACATCGTGGCTTCAGATTGGCCAGTCCTTCGGTCACGAGTTTGGTGAGAAGGTCAGGGGTCTGACGCCGCGTCCGTCACATATTGGTGACAGCGATCATGGTATCGTCACATATTGGTGGCAGCGATCCCCCGTCGGTCACACCGTGTTGCATTAGCCTACACATCCAGAGTATGGCTATTTTCCTTGTATGATATAGTGGCAACCATCATGGCCAGTGTGAATTTCATTGAGATAGGGCAAAAAGGAGTAGCAGACCAGCCTCCCAAGGTATGAATGATGCTGCACATAGAATGCTCTCTTAGTCAGAATGGATTTCAGGGAGATGGGCAGAGGTGAAGCTGCAGGCACACCACTCTATATGGGAACCATGCTTGCTTAAGCCGGCCATAGATAGTTCGAATCTCAGCCAGTTCTACAGGAAATGGCCCAGAACCATGTTTGGGCAGGCTGAATGTACCCAAGTTGATCTATAAATTGATTTTACATGTGAGCTGCGAGCAGTAATCACTGTGTTCTCCCGGCAGGGACAGCACCCTGTGCCACCTACTGGGAGAACACAATGGCTCCACGGGAGGGATTCTCCCATCAACACTGACTCATGGTTGTAGGAAAGAGAATTGCTCTGCCTATGGTCGACCTTAAAAGACATTTTTGTAATCGTCCTATCAGGACAAGAAAATGGGGGACATTAACTAAAACTAAAGCATTCAGAATCTGGTGCAGCTTTGCATGGTAGTCAATCAGCTTCTGACTGCAGCTTGTTCAATTAAGCTTTGGCAATAAAACTTGGAAGCTGAGTGGTTTCTGTGCAGAGTTTCACCTGATCTTGCACCAGATCAGCCAAAAACGTAATGACGTCACATCAATCAAGCTCCGGAGCTTGATTGATGTGACGTCATTACGTTTTTGGCTGCCAGCTACTGCGCATGTGCTGAGTAGCCAGGCTCGTTTATGTGATTGCTGTTATGCTGTTGATGCTGGTGTCGGCTGGGACACCTCTTGAGTAAGTGCAATGAGTACCTAATAAAGGAATTGGTTTTTATAATATTGCACCATGAAGTCTTTCTGTTTCTCTCGAGTGCTTGGCATTTCCCCCCATGGATACGTTTGAAGGTGGTCCTTTATCTATTGGAGAAGTGGATTTTCGATTAACTACAAAGTTTTTCATCCTGTTATTTCGATCGATGAGGATCGGTGTGTTGCAGAGTTTCCGTTTCTGAAGATATATTTATGGATGATCTGCCATTATATTATCAAGGTTTTTTGGTGAAATTTTTCATATTTAGACACTTTTTTTGCACAAAAGTTTTTTGCACTTAAAAGTTTTTTTATATTTTTTTGTGGTATTGGCATATATATATTTTTTTTTTGGACTTATGATTTGATGATTTCTTTATATATATTTATATATTTATACACATTTACTAGCGCAAATTATTTATTTATTGACTCACCAATATTAGTAAATAACCCCCAATGTAAAAGCAGAAAGATCAGCAATGACTACAAAGAGCCGTGAATAGGCAGAATCATGGGCAAACTGACCATTTGGAAACTCGGACACTGCCCGAGGGCCCGGGGTCAGTAGGGGGCCCCATGAGATGCCCCTGGTACCTTTTGCATAGGCATTTTTGAGTTTGAGCAAGGACACAGGGGCCCCATGATCCCCTATTGCCCGGGGGCCCCATGAGTTTTCAGTCCGCCCCTGGGCAGAATGACAATCTCTTTAAAATCCTGGTGTCCAGCTTGCGGCCCAATGGCCACATGAAGTCCTTTGGTATTTGCTGTGTGACTCCTGTATGCCAGCACTCATTTGTGCAAGTTGGAGCATTAAACTGTATAGGGCAGGGGTGTCCAAACTATGGCCCTCCAGGTGTTGAGGAACTGCAAGTCCCATGAGGCCTGGCAAGACTCTGACATCCACAGGCAAGCCACCCAGAGGCAGAGGCATGATGGGACTTGTAGTACATCAGCAGTTGGAGGGCCATAGTTTTGACACCCCTGGTATAGGGTCTTTGATAGCAGTGATCATTAGCAGTCTTGTATAACATTTCCCCAACCACACCTGCAGCATGCCCACAGACTCTGACAATCTCCGGTAGTATGTCTGCAGTCTCTGACATTCTTCTGCAGCATTGCATATGCCATGGATCGAAACTCAGCCGGGCCCAGCTGAACCATCCGAAGTTTGATCCATATGTTACCATGCCCACGATTATTAGATAGACTGGAAAACATTTGTCAAGCAGCAGCTGCAGCTGTTCATTGGTGTGTTCTGACTGTGCAGGAGTCCCGTTGTCAGAATACAATGTCCCAGTGGGGACCATTCCTCCATCCACCTTGATTGCGGAATCCATTTGTTTTTTTTTTCAGTCCCCTGGGTGCAGGGGCGGACTCGGACACTGCCCGAGGGCCCGGGGTTAGTAGGGGCCCCATGAGATGCCCCTGGTACCTTTTTCATAGGCTTTTTTGAGTTTGGGCAAGGACACAGGGGCCCCATGCTCCCCTTTTGTCCAGGGGCCCCATCAGTTGTCAGTCCGCCCCTGCCTGGGTGATTAAAAAAAAAAGTCATCTGTGGCCAACTTAAGAGCCAGTCTTGGCAACTGACATCACAAAGTCAGAGGGCCGAGCTTCTCCTGCATTGTAGCTGATCGATAGATTTTACATGTAATCACTGTGTTCTCCCGGCAGGGACGGCACCCCGGTCCGTCTACTGGGAAAGACAATGGCTCCGCAGGAGGGATTCTCCCATCAACACTGACTCGAGGTTGTAGGAAAGAGAATTGCTCTGTCTACGGTCAGCCTTCTGTCGAACAAGAATGCTGGAAAACGTGTCAAGCAGCAGCGTTGACAGAATACAATGTCCCAGTGGGGACCATTCCTCCATCCACTTTGATTGCGTGGATAGAGGAATCCATTTGTTTTTTTTTTCAGTCCCCCTGAGTGACTGAAAAAAAAAAAGAGTCATCTGTGGCCAACTTAAGAGCCAGTCTTGGCAACTGACATCACATAGTCAGAGGGCCGAGCTTCTCCTGCACTGTAGATGACACCTTCCCCAATCTTCTTTCCAGAGCCGTCCTGCGTTAGAAGAAAAGAGGAAATTCTAATTCCTCTTTACAGCTGCAGTAACCAAAGTGAAGGATGATCTCCCTACGTCTGAAGGACCTAAAGGCTGTATGTATATATTACCTACCATATCGATTTGCTGGTATTTTATCATCCTGGCATAGCAGGAATGCAGGCTTGGCTTGAAGTCTTATCTGTAATGCAGCTTAAGACGCTGGATCAGTAGGAAGGAAATCATTGCAAGGATATCTAACAATCTTATACACAGTGGTCCAGTAAATGGCATACTACGTTGAATGAGTCCCCAGAGGTGAGCTAGATTACCAATCGCAAGCCAAGGTGTTGAATGACCTCACTGCATTGCAGCAGAGAGGGAGGAAGGGGCTCTCACTAATCCATGGGACATTAATCTTGTGACGGCTACTGGAGATTCTCATTGAATAGGATGCTTCTGTCACCAAGGCTTTTTTTTTCTGCTACATCTGCTCTGACGTTTTCCTTCTTTGTTGTAAAATTTGTCTGTGGAAAGAATACACGCATCTATTTTCAGTTGTGGAATTTTCCAGAGAACACCAATAAAGAATATCTACGTTTATGTCACAAATAACGGGGAAAACCTACAATATAGATAAATGTATCACATGCAATAGCAAATTTGTGATCTACCTTTTAGAGTGCCCTTGCAAATTACAGTATATTGGTCGCACGACAAGGCGACTTAGGGACAGATTACGAGAGCACGTTAATAATATCAAACGGGGGTATAAGGAGCACTCACTTTCAAAACATTACAGGCGAGTTCATAACAGAGACCCAACTTCTCTAAAATTCATAGGTATTGATTTAATAAAACCGCACTGGAGGGATATACACAAAAGAAGGGTGGTGTCCCAACTTCAGATGAAAAATGGATCCATGAGCTCCGCTCCTTGCACCCCAATGGTTTAAATATTGAGGTTGATATTAACTGTTTCATTGAAAATAGTTGATTTCCTTTATTTCTTCATATTTTATTAGTTACATTTCTACCTTGCATTTTACTCTATTTAGATTAAAATATAAAGAGATTTATTATTTACATATATATTGAAGATTTTTAGTTCATTATAATTTTTAATAGATGTTAGGATTGCTAATAATTATTATTATTTTTAATATTTATCATTCTTATTTGTCATTTTTATAGTGTGTGAATGATATGGTAATGGATTCATTTCTATTTATATATTTATAATTTCATGCTATATTTATGATATTTATAAAATCTCAATAATAGATATTAGGACCTGTATCTCAACAATATGAACCGTGGAAAGTTCGCACATGCGCATCAGCTACTGTTTCATTATACACTACCTTTATTCATTTATCCTATTTTTAAAGTGGGACAAGCAGGCTGATTACTTTAAGTTTTCAGACTTTTAACATATCATTTACATTTTAACACAGATATTCAGACGATCGTCTGCTCTGTCTACAGATCCCAGTCAAACCAACGGAAAATGGCGCCAAAGCCCTCCTGCGTGCGCAGTAGATAAACAGAGCTGAGACAGTCATTCGTCTGCCCTGTTACTCACATAACGGGAACTAACAAAAAATGGTGCCCGAATTTGCGCACCTGTGCAGTATGTTCTGCGCTTCGCCAATATGGTCGCGGCTTAATGCGCATGTGCCGATTTTCCCTATATATATCTACGGCGGACGACACTGTGTGATTGGCGAGCCCCCTCTGAGGACGTGTTTGTACACGATACGCGTCAGGAGGAGCCACATCACGCCGTGACCTTATGCCGCCGGAGCAACGTGGAGCTCCGGCAGCCATCTTTAATACCAGATGGTTAGTCCTGTTTGTTTTTACCTATTGATGCATCACAATAAAGTTGTCTAATTACTACACTATGGGAGTTTTTCCTTGTCCTTACCCCCTGTGGGAGCTCTTTGATCAGCAGACCCACTACTCTAAGAGGGATTGCCATACCTTGAGGGTTAATCTGCATATCCAGAGAGTTACTTTCTGTTTGAATACAAAGGAGCTTTAAAGGACGGGGACCATCTTCACCAACCCCATAACATCTATTCTGACGACCCACCATCTTTGAGAAGGAAGTCCATCAACCCAATACCTGTTTGATGACATCTGGATTTTAATATAAGGCGCAATAACTATGCACATCCGGTGAGTGCGCATTACCTTTACCACTACTGCACTGATACCGGATCCAGAGTCACTAAGCACGAGAGTCACTTTATATATTGTTCATATTGGAACTTTTTTTGATTTTACCATTTTGATTTTAAATTGAATTTTTATTCTGTGGTTTTAGTGATTTTACACGAAGAGTCATTGGGACATTGTATTCAGTCTAGCGCTGCACTTTCTTGTTTAATATCTATGTTTTAGGGTGCTATTGGTTACCTTTTGTGCACAGCAGCTTTGTTTTTGTTTTAAGGCGCTCGCACCTCTTTTATTATAAAGAATATCTAAAGCCAAATGTATTTTGTTTCCCCTCTATTCACCATCCTGTGACTTTTCCAAATGTTGGATTTTCTATAACTTTCAGTCCAACTGACAGTGGTCAACAGGACAAACAAAGGACTGGGGACACCAACAGCAATACAATACAATACATTTCACAGCGGTTCTAACTTTTCTCTGTTTCATCCACACAAAAAAAGAATGTTGAATTGAGATACATGTTAAAGTATATGTAAACCCTCGCCTTGCAAAACAATTCCGTTTAAAATAGAAATGAAAGGCAAAACATTTGTGGATAGATATAAAAAAAACCATTATAAATTTTTTGTCCTATTTTATAAGTGGCAACATACCCTCTGTTTTCAGCTCCATAAAGAGCTTAGACAGGTGGGGGAGGAGAAACAGCATTACACTGAACTTCCCAGTGAATGGCTGTGTGCAGGGGGAGGGGGGTGTCAGGTGTGTCAGTGTCCCCCGTGGCTGCTGAATCAGTGCCCTGTGTATCCTGCATCAGTGTCCACTTGTATCTCCTGCATCAGTGCCCCCCGTGTCTTCTACATTAGCGCTCGCTGTGTTTTCTGCATTCATGCCCTATGTCTTCTGCATTAGTGCCCTGTGTATCCTGCATTAATGCCCCCTGTGGCTCCTGCATCAGTGCCCCCCTTGTGTCTCCTGCTTTATTGCCCCCTGTGTCTTCTGAATTTGTGCCCTATGTCTCCTGCATTAGTGCCCCCTGTATCTCCTGCATCAGTGCCCTGTGTTTCCTGTATCAGTGTCCTGTGTCTCCTGCATTAGTGCCCCCCTGTGTCTCCTGTATCATTGCCCTTTGACTCCTGCATTAGTGCCCCCCTGTGTCTCGTGCATCAGTGCTCTGTGTCTCCTGCATTAGTGCCCCTCTGTGTCTACTACATCAGTGCCCTGTGTCTCCTGCATTAATGCCCCCTGTGTCACCTGCATTAGTGCCACCTGTGTCTCCTGCATTTTTGCCCCCCTGTGTCTCCTGCATCAGTGCCCCCTGTCTCCTGCATCAGTGCTCTGTGTCTCCTGCATTAGTGCCCCTCTGTGTCTCCTACATCAGTGCCCTGTGTGTCCTGCATTACTGCCCCCCGTGTCAGCTGCATTAGTGCCCCCCTATGTTTCCTGCATCAATGCCCCCGTGTCTCCTGCATCAGTGCCCCCCGTCTCCTGCATCAGTGCTCTGTGTCTCCTGCATTAGTGCCCCTCTGTGTCTCCTACATCAGTGCCCTGTGTGTCCTGCATTACTGCCCCCCGTGTCAGCTGCATTAGTGCCCCCCTATGTTTCCTGCATCAATGCCCCCGTGTCTCCTGCATCAGTGCTCTGTATCTCCTGCATTAGTGCCCCCTGTGTCACCTGTATTAGTAACCCTGTGTCTCCTGCATCAGTGTCCCCCTGTGTCTCCTGCATCAGTGTCCCCCTGTGTCTCCTGCATCAGTGTCCCGCTGTGTCTCCTGCATCAATGTCCCGCTGTGTCTCCTGCATCAGTGTCCCCCAGTGTCTCCTGCATGAGTGTCCCCCTGTGTCTCCTGCTTCAGCAACATTAAAGGAGCTGCAGTAATATCTGGCAAGTACTGGCTGTGTGGTACATGTGGCAACAATCTCCCATATTCTTCATACATCTGGACTATGGGGTAGTGTGGCAAGACGGAAGCCATTTCTTACAAAGAAAAACATCCAAGCCCAGGTAATTTTGCAAAAACACATCTGAAGTCTCCCAAAAGCATGTGGGAAAGTGTGTTCTGGTCTGATGAAACCAAGGTTGAACTTTTTGGCCATAATTCTGAAAGATATGTTTGCCGCAAAAACAACACTGCACATCACCAAAAGAACACCATACCCACAGTGAAGCATGGTGGTGGCAGCATCGTGCTTTGGGGCTGTTTTTCTTCAGCTGAAACTGGGGCCTTAGTCAAGGTAGAGGGAATTATGAACAGTTCTAAATACCAGTCAATATTGACACAAAACCTTCAGGCTTCTGCTAGAAAGCTGAACATGAAGAGGAACTTCATCTGTCAGCATGACAATGACCCAAAGTATGGGTCGGTAAAAAACCTTCTGTGTGCAGCATCCCCCCCCCCCAGCCCCCTCAATACTTACCTGAGCCTCATCACGATCCAGCGACGTGAATGACAGCCTTGCCTGTCCCGGGTCTCTGCCTCTTCATTGGCTGAAACAGCAAGTGGGAGCCCTTGGCTTCGGCTGCTGTCAATCACAGCCAGTCAGCCAATGAGGAGAGATGGGGTGGGGCCAAGTCTCAGCTCCATGTGTGAATGGACACATAGAGCAGCGGGTGCCCCCATAGCAAGCTGCTTGCTGTGGAGGCACCCGACAGACAGGAGGAGCCAGGAAAGCCTGCAGGGGACCCGAGACCAGGAGGATCCAGGCTACTCTGTGCATCACCACTGCACACAGCAGGTAAGTACAGACATGTTTGTTATTTTACAAAAAAAATCATCTTTAGAATCGCTTTAAATCACATAATTCAAATGAAACAAATGTACTGGGTAATTTTGTTATAACTTTTCTTTTTTGATTCGTTGACATTCATTACTATGTCTATTTGGAGATCAGTATACATCCAAATCTCCAAAAGTCCAATTTTTGTTCGAAAATTGATTTGTTACGAAATTAAATGCACATGTCTAGTCTCAAGTACAGAACAAAAAAATGACACCATAGTTTGCAACACACCAATCATCTAGCCTACTTTTATACTTGATAATGTGATTATTGGAACAGTTTATGTAAACATGAATTACTTTTTGGAGTTTTCTTTTTCAAGCAAATGGAAGACAATAGCAGTATTTCTATATCTAAAAAAGGCGTACGAGATTCCAGTGGGGTGTCACTTGGCAGACCAGTAGAGCCTGAAGATCCCAGACTTCACGGTATTGATAGGGATGGCATTCTTTACATTAAAGAGCAACAATGAACACATTTAGAACTTCCCTGGTCTGGTCTAACACAACAATAAAGGTCATAGGTTCCAATTACCATTTTCCTATGTAACTCTATAAGGTAGAACTGCAGTTAACGAAAACAGTATACTGAACAGGAATGCTACAAAGGAGGTGGCAATGGAAGGCTGGGATTGTGCTCTCTATGTCTGCGATGGTATTGAGTTAGTTCCTCCCTACTTTCACTGTCCATCCATCCTGGCTAAACCCTAACAGATTCCTCTACACAGGGGCAGGTCGGGCGGAGCTGAGGGAAGACGCTAAGATTAAGAATGGAGAGGAATTGAAGGCGATATTTCCATCCAGTACCATGATCTAACTTCCTCCAGTTCTGAGGGATTCGTGGATATATTCTTATGCGTTTGTGACTCTTGTATAAGGGTCCATATGTTCTGGTAAGAGCAACTCCTACCAACCCACCAACACCTACCATTTGCTGGTGGTGGAGCACTAATCATATTGAAGACACGTGGTGATCTACTGCATGGTTCAATATGCTGGGACTATTTTTACTTTTGGACTTATTTATATTATCACTTATGCAGGGGCGGACTGACAGCTCATGGGCCCCCGGGCAATAGGGGATCATGGGGCCCTTGTGTCCTCGCCCACACTCAAACCACACCCACAAAAGCCTATGAAAGGTACCAGGGGCATCTCATGGGGCCCCTACTGACTTTGGGCTCTCGGGCAGTGCCCGAGTACCCAAATGGTCAGTCCGCCCCTGCTTATATGGTTGCCTTAGTTGCGACATTTGAGCAAGGCAATTTATTTATAATATTTGTATACAATTGACCTGATTGTCTTTCCAGCAGCTTTTTTCATTTATTCACTATTTGGGCAGCTTTTTTCATTTCTTTTTTATATACGAGTATGTTGCCTTTTATTTTGAATGCCACACCAATGTTCTTGCCTTGTAGTGCACCACAGCATAAAGATGGGTGTGGACTGTGGTGTGCTTTGCTGGAAAAAAGGGGACATGTCTGCTTTTTTGTACGTTGTGGTGCATGAACAGCCCACTTTACAGCCCATTCACACTACTGTGGTGCATTCATTTGTGTTATTATGTTCAAATGTATTGCATTAAGGCAGCTCTTTTGTTAAAATGGGCTGCCCAACACACCAATTTACACCAAAATGGAGCATGTATCATGTCTGGCAGTACACCACACCAGAGGTGTATTTAGGTTTTGTGCTGCCCACGACAACACAAAAATTGGCTTACGCCCTCCCCCCACGGAGAGACCCTGACACCGACCAAAACCCCCCTCCCCCATGAGGAGAGCCAACAACACCCCAGAACCCCCCCCAACCGTGAGAGCCTTCCACTACCACTGCCCCCCATACAGTGGCAATCTCCCTGCACCCCTATGAGAGAGAAGACACTCCCCTTCACAGCTCTGGATATCCCCGGGAACAAGAGTCAGGCTCTGCATACACCATCAAGCAGCCCATAGCCTCTCTCAGATCCCACCTGGTCCCCATGCTGCCTGTGTCCCTTCTTCCATCCCTTCTTTTGGGGGACGGCGCAGCCCCCCTGAAAAATGCTGCCCTAGGCAAATGCCTTGTTTGCCTTGCGGTAAATATGCCCCTGCACCAGATTGCATGTCAATCTGTTGTTACATGTTGTTACACTTCACTGCATTGCACATTTGTCACCAAGGCGTGTTGGGGATACCATTCAGAATTAGTGGTAAAGCATTACAGAAATGCATGTAGTATGCTTTTCTGTAAATTACTGCAACAGAATAGTGTGAATGAGCAGTTTAATTCTCAACAGAGATTCCAAACCTTCATTTTATCTGAAACAAGTTTTGGTTAGAGTAATTCTTTAAGGCTGGCCATAGACGAGTTGAAAACTGAACACTCTGTCAATTTTAAAACAAAAATGGCGCATGCCATTGTTTCATCATTTGTTTTGTTTTTGTAAAAAAATCCAGCATGTTGGATCAGGCACTTTAGATTGCGGCACATAAATCGCATGTAGCAGCTGGTACACTAATGATGCGAAGACCAAACAAACGGACGTTCAACAAGAATTTTTGTTTGATTTTCCACTCATCTATGGCCTGCTTCAGGGCCTATTTAAATCTAGGCAGTCTGTTATGGTGCGTTAATGAACTTACGTTAGCGGGCTTTAGCATGCATTGCAAGTCCGTGATGCTGAAGCATCAAAACAGACCAAAAAAATGCTAAGGCATGTATGGGTGTTATCGTACACTGAGGTGACATTCATGTTAATACACGCATTACCACAGCACATCACAATGGAGAGGTGGGAATGGGCCCTAAATGTACTGGCAGAGTGAACATGTGCCTTTTTCAGGAGCCAGGCTGGCGCTGAGGACAATGGCATGTCGCATGACACAGTCATAGGCAGGGCTTTGTTTCAGCGGGAATGCAGGGGAATGCAGTTATGGCACCTCCAGCACTAAATGTATGTAATGGCAAGGAGTGCTGGGGTGTGCTGGAAAGTCTATTGATGCTGGCTGCTGGGGGGGGGGTCTATTGTTGCTGGGGGGATCTCTTGATGAGGGATGGGTCTATTGTTGCTGAAGGGCGAACTGTTGCTGGGAGGGATCTACTGTGGAGGAAGGGGTTTGTTGTTGCTGGCTGCTGAGAGATCTATTGTTGCTGGTAGGGGTCCATTGTTGCTGGAGTGGGTCTATTGTTGCTGGGGGTTCTTTTGTTGCTGGCAGTAGGGTAGCTTTTTTACTGCTTTTTGTTTTCTTTAGTAAATTTCATACAAATTACTTAACACCACAAAATGATACATGGTTTTTTATTCACTAAAAGGGGCGGTACTGGTAGGTGGTTAGGCAGTGGAACCAAAGGATGGTGTTCGTAGCTAGGTAGGGAGTGGAGACATGGGGTGACTGGTCAAACGTGACAACCATAAAAGTGCTGGGGACATGATATGACGTTTCCCTATATATATATATATATATATATATATATATATATATATATATATATGCTCTGCATGAAAAGTATTACAGCTCCTATTTCTTTCAAATATGAGGTTAGTTTATATAGGCACCCCCAGCAGAGATCTGCTTATACCTGAGACCCCCCCCCCCTCTCCCAGCCCCTACTTCCGAGTCACTCCTTGTCTCTGCACCCTATCCACCTCCAAGCACCGTCCCTTGGTTTTACCTCCTAGCCACCTCCCGCTACTGTCCCTTTTAGAGAACACAGAACCTAGTACCATTTTGTGAAGCTTGCTATGCAGTTTATTAATGATAAAAAGAAAAACGGTAAAAAAGATCAGCAAAAATAGCCCCCTGGAAAAATAGCTCCTAGAAACAATAGATCTCCTGATAACAATAAACCCCCGACAGTGACAATGGATCTCCTCAACAACAATCAACCCCCTGTCACAAAATCACTCCCACATCAACAATAGATCCACCTCGGGAATAATAGACCTCACCAATGACAATAGATCCCTCCCAGTAACAATTGGCCTCCCAACAACATAGGACCCCCCCCTCTTAGTAACAATAGGTCTCTCCCTCAACGATAGCCCCAGCACCAATAGATCCCCCCAGGAGTCAGCATCAATAGGCTCTCCAGCACACCCCCCAGCACCCCTTGTCATTGCATACATTCAATGCAGGTGGTGCCAGAGCTAGGTGATCCCGCTTTGCCCTGAAAAAATGCATTGCATGAGACTCTTTATTTCTTTTAGAGACAATGATCAATGAGATAAGCAATTATCAGATATATTTTTTGTAGCAGAAGGCTTTTCTCTTGTGTTTACCGCTCTCTGCTATACAAACAGGCAGCGCTGAGAACCCAGACAAGCATTCCTGTATTCTAATTTCTAATAACCGTGCTGAAAGAACAGAACTGCTAATTGTACATTAACACTAGATTAATGATCTGTCTGCTCACCCTTTCATTCTCATTATAGCATGAGCAAAAATAGCCTGCCATAGCTGCCTGGAAGCCTAATGTACTGCTCACTGCCCAGAGTGTCCTGCTAGCACCACTGCGGCCTGCTTGGACTTCTGGCATGTCAGGTCTTACCAACTATAAACCAGAATAATAGTAAAAAAATACCTACTCCAAAAATAGGGACTTTAAATGTGCCCACAAGTAAAGGAACAACAATATAATAAATACAACCTATATAAATGTGAAAATCAGTTTTTATTCACATATTAATAAAAAATCTTTTTTATCAGAGATGACCAATTTTGTAAGAAATATACAATGGTTCTCTAAAAACATATATCATCGCCTAATTGGATCAGTTCCATCAATAGCAGTATACCACAATGCACTTACATGTCTACACGTTTCACAATTTTTACCACTTCCTCAAGTCTGGGGGAAGAGAATACACAGTAATTGATCCATTATACAGTATATGTAAATTACATCAGACCAATAGGTAAGTACTGCTGATATGAGACATCTGTCCTACACAGTCGAGGTGCAAATGCCAAATCTTTAACAAACTCGTGCAGACTCCACCTCCGCAACATCGCCAAAATCCGCACGTTCCTAACCCCAGAAACCACTAAAAAGCTCATCCACTCCCTCATCATATCACGACTCGACTACTGCAATTCCCTCCTCACTGGACTGCCTCGCCGCTGGTTATCCCCACTTCAGTCGATCCTGAACACGGCTGCCAGACTCATTCACCTTTCCAACCGCTCCGTCTCCGCCACCCCCCTCTGCCAATCCCTCCACTGGCTTCCGATTGCGCAACGGATCAAATTTAAATTCCTAACACTGACGTACAAAGCTGTCCACCATACTGCCCCGAACTACATCACTGACCTAATATCCAAGTACCGCCCCAGCACACACACTCCGCTCCTCACAAGACCTCCTTCTCTCTAGTTCCCTGGTCTCCTCCTCCCATGCCCGCCTCCATGACTTCTCCAGGGTGTCACCCATCCTCTGGAACTCCCTGCCCCAACCCATCAGATTATCACCTACTCTCCTCTCCTTTAGGCGCACTCTGAAAACCCACCTCTTCAGGGAAGCCTACCCCACCCCCTGCTAACTTGTCGACCTCCTCCACTCTTCCTACCACCCCCATCCCCCACAGCTATCTCCTCCTGTGCCACCATCCCCTCCCTCCTAGATTGTAAGCTCGAAAGAGCAGGGCCCTCGCACCCCTCATTTTTTGCATTGTATTGGTATTGTTCTGTCACATATTCTGTCCCCCTTTGTAATGTACAGCGCTGAGCGAACTATTGGCACTTTATAAATATTGTATAATAATAATAATAATAATAATAAATGATGGTAACCCCTAAAAGTTGGATAAATAAAGCAATGATGCACAATGTGCACAACAAAAAAAACACAAAACAAAAACAGCCCAATGCCCCACAGAAATGTATGGCTCTCATGGCCTGTGGGGGAGCCTAAATAAGGGTGCTAGTAAACAGAATTATATAACATAATTAAATGTCAATAGTAGGCCCATGATGGCACGGCACATATGGATGGGATGTGTGTAAGCAGGTGCAGTTAGCTAGTCTGCCACTAGGTGAATCTGTCCCAAAATAGTGTGCGGGGACAGTGAAGAGTGTATTTGGGTGTTAGGTCTCTTTTAGATAAAGCCTTTCATTTTATATATATATATAATATATAAAAAAATTTATATAAAATATTTTTC